AGTCCCCCAATGCCAAGGCTGTCATGTGGGAGAAAAGCAAACCTCTGGTTCATGAAGTTGCAGGTATTTGGGGTCTCTGCACAAGCCAATGAACTTGTATACCAATAAGTAGAGGGAGTATTTTTTATTTCAATAGTTATTTATTCACTTTAATGTGTATTAGAAAAAACTTCCAACTTATTAATCAAACCTGCGATTTCATTATGGCCACAGAGGACGTTAAGGTAGGTAACACCATAAAGTAGGTAACACAGTTTTTACTTTTACCATGAGTAAAAGTGTGAGCCGGTTTAATTTAAAAGAAAACGCTAGATAACAGCATGGGCATGACAAGGGTTTGGCATCAAGCACAATCATCTTGGAGTGACTGAAGCTCATCCACTTGGGACAGGTGACCATGTGGGGGACTCTGGAGCAGCAAAACAGTCAGGGTGAGGGGTCAGAGGCACCAAACTTCCTCTTAGGAAAACACAAGGGAACCGACCAACCCATGTCCAGGCAATGCTGAGGACGCTCCTGACTGTGGGGGGACCCGGCACAAAGCCCCCATGGCCGCCGGGCTGGCCCGAGCTCCTGGACTCAGCCTTGACGGACACTGACTCTGTTCCCACAGCGGCCGCTTTGTCTCCTTTGTAGACACTTAGCTCAGCGCCTGTGCTGCTTGGCTGTGACCTGACCTCTGAGGGTCACCCCCTGAATTTGCTCACTGTGGCCTGTGCTGCAGACCTAGTCAGGAAGCTCCTGGTCTCCCCTCCGCCCCTCCCCCGCCTCATTCTCACAAAAGGTCTCATTGTTCTGCAGGGTCTGATTCAGACCTGCCCTGGTTTCGGTTTCCGCAATCGCCCAGCACTGGCTTTGGGTCAGGGGTCACTCTGGAGTGAACGGGGCGCCCTGAGCAATCCCACATCGCTGCGTGATCCTGGCTCAGCCACAGGATGCCCCGGCCCAGGGACCTAAATGGGGCCCAGAAGTGCACCAGATGCAGTGAGGGCGGTGATGTGGGGACGCCAGCATCTCCAACAGTGGAAAAGAGGAAACCTACTTTGCATTAAGCCCGTCCTCTTCTCCCCCAGGGTTAGGGGGACACAGTATCTTCACTGACCACGTTGGAATGTTCTGGGGAGTGAAGGGAACATCCCCAAGACTCGGTGACTTGACCTTCGCTTTGGCTGAGATTTGAAATTCTCTTCTTATCGATCTTTAAACCTGTACACACAGGAGTCTGTTTTACATCCAGCCGTCCCTGTGACCCCAGGCAGGTTCCCTACCTTGTGTTTCCTCATCTGTAAGGTGGGAATAATGACCGCACGGCCTCGCGTGCTTGTCAGAACCAAATCAGACAAGGCACGAAGACCCATCGGCCCGGAAAGCCGCAGCTGGGCCCTGACGATGCCACGCTATCCATCTGGGGAGGGGAAGTTCATTGCTAATTCGACTCAAAGGAGGAAAAATGCACATCCCCCTGAGCTGAAAGAGGGAAGCCAGGTCCACCAGGCCACCGGGTCTCCATCAGCTGAGGAAATGGACAATGAGGGCGACATCGAAACTGCAGAGAGCAGCAAAGCCCTTCACTGCTGCTGCCCGGAACCCGCAGCGGCTCCTGCGGCACCACAGGTCACTGGGCCAGAAGCCAGTTAGGTAACGGCCACATCACCATCCAGGGAAGCCGCTCCCAGGCGCTGATCCCCGGAATGGTGGGTTTGCTACCAGCAGCCACACAGACACCTCGCCTCATGCCAGGCTGCTGAGCTCAGATGGCGGGGG